TGTGTGTTGCGAGGAGACGTCCCCGTCCACCTCTCCCTTTTTTCGTGCTTTGTCTCAGGGGCAGGCTTCCCGGTCGGGTTGCGGTTGATTTTCTTGTGTTTGGGGTGGATAGCTAGTGGATTGTGGCCGTGGGTTGCTATTTGAAGGTGGTCGTTTTCATTACATGTTTAGTCGGGGTCGAGAGTCTCAGCTCTGGCTAGCCATAGCTAATTTGGAGTGTGTAGTTTCTGGACTAGTACTCTTGGCTAAGTTTGTACTCTTCTTTGTAGACTGTTCGATTTGTTGTTTCGGGAGGTTGTAGCGTAAGGTTGTTAGACGGTGGTTGGGGAGGGGTTTATTGTATTTTTTAGGTGTGTGTGGAAGCGGTTTTGATTAATTTTTTCCTTTACGTTTTTAGTTCAAGTCCATCTACGTCTGATTTCAATCTCCGTCATGGAGTTTTCTGGTCTTCTTTATGGATTTTATTTGTACCCCTTGGTCTTTGGTTTTCCAAGGGGGTGGACCCAGTATTTGTACTGATTCTAGTGGTGTCAGTTGACACTTTAGGTATACTCGTTTTGTGGTTTTCAGTTTTAATATAATTATCTTTAGACAAACAAAAGAATATATATTTATCTGGAGAATGACCACGAAAGCCAGAAATAAATTGCGAGTTAAATTGAAATCAACTAACTCAAATAAAAGAAATCATAAAATTGATCAAAATCGTAGCACTTAAAATACACTTGTTGTAAGGTGTTATTGTCACTGAACAAAGAGAAAATAACTATTTTCACCTCATTTTAAAATGAGCTAAGTTTTCCACTCCTCCAATGAAATTAGTTAATTTTTTCACCTTAATAAGTGCGAAACAAACTATGCAATGAGCTATGGTATATACATACAATGATAATTGATAAAGTGCAAAAACATAACGACTGACAGACGAACAAAATTGATAAAATGCTAAAACGTTATACGACAGACATGCGAAGATAATTAATAAAGTACGAAATAATTATGCTTTAAAATATGCGACAAACATACTAAGATAATCGAGCAAGTGCGATCACATTGTGCGATAATCTATGCGACAAATAGATGAAGATAATCGAACAACTGCAATCTCATTATGCAATAAACTATGCGACAGACATACGGAGATAATGGAGCAAGTGCAATCTCATTGTCTGATAAACTATGCGACAGACATGCGAAGATAATCGAGCTAGTGCAATCTCATTTATGCGATAAACCATGCAACAGACATGCATAGATAATCGATGTTTGAATATTTTGTTGGCATCATTCGAATTTAATTATAGTTTCTTTATGTTATTTTGATGATCTTCTTGTTAGGCAAGATTTTTTTTTTAAAATCTCAATTTATTTACTTGTTTAGTATTTCGTTCCGAGTATATATTTTCTATCTACGTATGCTTACTTTATAATATGGTAAATATTATGGAGTTCTAAACCCTATGGAAGAAGAATAATATGATATATTTTATATATAGTCATAGATATTTTTACTTGTGATGATTATGTGCTTATAAAGTTTCCTTACATGTGTAGGAAACATTCCATAAGGTAGATATTTACTAGAGGAGGTGTAACACCCCGCTATTTTACTAAAATCAGAGTACGCTTTTTCGCAAACTTTCTGAATAAATTTAATAAAATGTTTCTTTTTATTTTTGCGAAAACTGATTCGGAGTGCTACCGTGAAAATCTGACTTTTATCTGGAAAAACCGTTAATTTTAAATTGATAATAAAAAAGGTTGTATAATATTTTAACCGACTAATGTCGGATCAAAACCGAGTTCAAGTACTGAAAAAGGTAGCGGAAAAGTAGCGTGGCCAAAACATAACATATACATATACACAAAAGTCCTGAGTCCGTCGCCCGCTCACTCCTCGGCTCCGACTCTGTGACCTGAAAAACATGAAATACGTGGGGACGTGAGCACTAACACATTGTGCTCCGCAGAAACTCATACTAAAGTAAACAGTGAATATAATAACAATATCATGATCCTGGTATATATACATAACCTGAACATGAAACCGGTAATAACATGAACATGAA